ATCGACTTCAGCTACGCTATTCTCGTAGCTGAAGTTGCATATCTTAGATCGATCCCCGCCACCCCACCCAGTGTAGACCAGGCCCAAGAAATGAAGCACAGTGGTCCTAGAAAAAACAACCTCCTTTACTAAATACAATGCTGATTCATCCCCAGTGCAGGCCTACCCTGTGCACTGAATGAGGCAGGGATCCTGTGGAAAAAATGCTATGTGATAATGTAATTTAAAGACTGTAACCTAATGTATATGCACAAGGGGGCTGAATTAGGGTTGCACAGGCAACTTTAATTTTGGCATTTCCTGACTTCGCAATCTTAATAAATGTTCTTTTAGCATAGTGTGTGTGTAATATGTATGTGGATAAAAAGTTTAGGAGATGATTTCCTACATTTAATTTCTATTAATTTACAGAAAATTCACGATCTCCTTTTCAAAAATACATGTAATGCAGAAAAGGTAAAAGCAATGAATACACACTCTGCAGATAGGCCAGCACAGTACTTCTCCATCCCCTCAACTGCATACCACTGAGAAGCTATGACATTTTTAGCAGTATAAGTGCTATGACATTTTTGATGGGGTTCCATAACCCCATGGCTTTGCCCTTCTGGAGAGTCCTCTGAGTCACCCCTCTCCCAAGAGGGCTGTGACAGATGGATCTCTCTGGACATTGAATTTATAACTCAGCCAGTATGTAATTCTGGTATGGACTAAGGCACAGTGAGGATCCTGGACTAACAGCTCCACAGGGCAATTGGGGACACAATGGACGGATGGAATTCTGGACAGGTAAGAATTAAGAAATTAAGTGAAATGAGATGTCAGGGATTCAAGAGGCAGGTTTCAGTGTAGAAGAAGGGGAGGGGGCTCAAAGGGAAGTTACACAGCTGAAGAGCTGGGGAGAAGGATGAGTCATTCAATCCTAGTTTTGTGCACAGGAAGTCAGGGGCCCTAGTGGGAAGCCTTTGACAGGATGGAGGCCATGGCTCTTCCAGGGAGTGACTTCCCAGAACAGGAGAGGAACACAGACACGCTGTGGATTCCTGACGTGGGACACTGAGCCTGGTCTACACTGGGGGGAAGAGGGGGTCGATGTAAGATACGCAACTTCAGCTACGGGAATAGTGTAGCTGAAGTCAACGTATCTTATTTCGACTTACCTCCCATCCTCACGGCGCGGGATCGACGGCCGCGGCTCCCCCATCGACTCCGCTACCGCCGCTCGCCCTGGTGGAGTTCCGGAGTCGACGGGAGCGCGTTCGGGGATCGATTTATCCCTGCTGCTGGCTGAGTGAATGGAACCCCAGGCCGGCAGCGGGCTCAGCGGTGGCCGGGACCCGCAGCCTGCCATTAAAAAAAAAAATCGGCTTGCGTGCCGTAGGTTGAGGACCCCTGTTCTAGTGTATACAGTGTATACTGTGTGTACTGTACTTTATGGTAATTTTCACTATACGCAATTTTCCTCTTACACGCTGACCTTAGAACCTAACCTCCGCGTAAGATGCGACTCCACTGTAGTGTAAAAAAACATTTTTGGGCACCACTTTTTGGCGCCCCCAAATCTTGGCGCCCTAGGCGGCCACCTAGTTTGCCTAGTGGTTACACCGGCCCTGAGAGTAAGGGTGTACAGAGTAGAATCCTAGAGAGCTGGGGACCCTTCATACTATAAATTCAACCTTGACATGCTGGAAATAGGGAGGAGGAAAGTCCAACCCTGGGGGGTACAAGGGAGTTGAAGGCACGCAGCACTTTGCTGAATTGGGCCCTTGGTTTGCTACAGCTATCCCCAGGCACAGGACCCTTGTATCTTGTGCTGCCGCCCCAGAACATGTGGACTGTGAGCAGATTTTAATTTGGGCCAGCAATAAGAGTGAGAGATTTATTTTCTCATCCCGCTATCTGCACACTTGTACAACTGGACTGTTGTAGCACTCTTCTCTCCAAAACTGGTATTGGGGGCATAGTGCTATGGCTCCAATGAGCTTGAAACTGAGGAATGCCTGCTGTCCTTAAAGACCCCCATAGCACACACAGTATTTCTCTCCAGAGTAGAGATATCTGGTATCTTGGCTGCATCCAAAATCGGGGTATTACTACCAGACATTCTGCGCTCTGCATTTTGTACTTTGTTTCCTAAAGCATTGTGTGGCGTTGCTGTATGCTGTTAAACAGCTGCTGTGTTCCATCCCATAGGTGGCTGAAGATAGACACACATCACATCAGCGATGCCATCAGGGGTTCGTTCACCTGCACATCTACCAATGTGATATATGCCATCATGTGCCAGCAATGCCCCTCTGCCATGTACATTGGCCAAACCGGACAGTCTCTACGCAAAAGAATAAATGGACACAAATCTGACATCAGGAATCAGAACATTCCAAAACCAGTAGGAGAACACTTTAACCTGTCTGGTCACTCAGTAACAGACCTGAGGGTGGCAATTTTGCAACAGAAAAGCTTCAAAAACAGACTCCAACGAGAAACTGCTGAACTTCAATTGATATGCAAACTAGATACAATCAACTTAGGCTTGACTAGAGACTGGGAATGGCTGAGCCCCATGTAAGTATTCTCACACTTCTTATCAAACTGTTTGTACTGGGCTATCTTGATTATCACTTCAAAAGTTTTTTCTCTTACTTAATTGGCTTCTCAGAGTTGGTAAGACAACTCCCACCTTTTCATGCTCTCTGTATGTGTATATATATAGCCTCAATATATGTTCCATTCTATGCATCCGAAGAAGTGGGCTGTAGCCCACGAAAGCTTATGCTCTAATAAATTTGTTACTTTCTAGGGTGCCACAAGTACTCCTGTTCTTTTTGCGGATACAGACTAACACGGCTGCTACTCTGAAATCATACACAGCACTGGCACCTCTGTTAAAGAAACACCTAATAGGAAAGTAAAATATTGCTCAAAGTTAGCAAAGAACTTTAAAAAAGCAGGTGATTAAAAAGGACTCTTCAAACACACATCAGGAGCCTATAGCAGCAAGCCAGTTCCTTCAGGCCTGGTCTACACTACGGGATTAATTCGGATTTAGCAGCGTTAATCCGAATTAACCCTTCACCCGTCCACACTACAGAGCCAGTTAATTCGAATTAAAGGGCCCTTTAAATCGATTTCTGTACTCCACCTCGACGAACGGAGTAGAGCCTAAATCGATTTTTTTAATTCGAATTAGGGTTAGTGTGGCCGCACACCACCGAATTACTGTGTTTAAGTTAATGGGGTAGTGTGGCCGCACACCACCGAATTAATGTGGTTAAAAACCGAATTAAGATGCTTAGTGTGGCCGCGCACAATCGAATTTATACAACCTGTTTCCCAAATTCGAATTATCTAAATTCGGATTAATCCTGTAGTGTAGACATACCCCCAGACACAGAAGAGGCTGCTAAAAGAGAAGTTAGATGTCAAGCCCAGCTTTGTTTTGCTTTTCTTGACTTAATTTCAGAAGTTTTAGCATTGTGGTGAGCTACAATGAAATCCTTGCTAACCCCTTTGAACACTGGACCTTGCTCAGGCAGAAGCGTAGAACCTTGGAGCATACACTCCAAGCGGGTAGTCCTCACTAAGGAACCAAAAACGCAGGCATGCACCCAATCAGCTGTTAGCCATTCCCATCAATCCATCATTTTTGTAACCTCAGGGTCTCTTAGCAACTGCCCTGCCTGCACACAGCCTCTAGCTACCCCCCTCCCTACACCCTGAGCTACCCCCCTGCCCACACACAGCCCCTAGTTACCCCTCCCTCCACCCTGAACTACCCCCTCCCTGTACCCTGAGCTACCCCCTGCCTGCACACAGCCCCTAGTTACTCCCTCCCTGCACCCTGAGCTACCCTCTCCCTGCACACAGCCCCTAGTTACCCCCTCCCTGCACCCTGAGCTACCCCCTCCCTGCACCCTAAGCTATTTTCAAGCTTTTTGCGCTGAGCTGATAATTTTTGGTTGCAGCCCCCCCCCACAACCCAGACAGGCTGGGTGGTCTGCTGAGGCGAGTCAGGGGGTGGAGGTGTCACTCTCTCCTTGGCCCCTGCCATGTGCTCAAGCCCCGCTGACCCCTGCCCTCCCCCCAAATAGAAGTCAAACTATGCCTATGCCCAAGGTCCCTGCCCCGAGGCCTCCCACACCCACTGGGCCCTGGAGTTTTTATAGCATGTTGGGAGGGGGAGGGAGGCTGAGAAAGAAAAGAAACTCCCATCTTGGAGCACAGGGATTCCCTTCCCCAATGAGCCATAAAAAATCCTGTCTCCGGCTCTAAGTGGAACTCTCAATATGGTTATAACAACTCAGCCACACTAAGTAACGCTTAGGTTTGTCAGGACCAGCTCAGTTCTGCAACCTAAACATTGGCTACTCAGATGTGCTGAAGCAGATAGCATGAGTAGAGAAGGTGGTACAAGTAAAACTTGTATTTTAACTACCACTGATGGCAATGTCTCACGCCTTCACAGGGTCTTTGATGCCTGCTGTATGAAATTCCTTTCCTGAAATAGGCCGTGCAGGCATTTTGGTACTGGACTGAACACACGGGGCATAATGCAAGATTTCTGACTGATTGAATGCTACATTCATGAGAACCGAGCAGTGGATATGATAGACAGGTAGGCTTTTAAAATGCCAACGGTGCCTGCTCAGCTGTCTGCTCAGTGCTGAGTACCATTCAGCTGATCAGAGACGAGTCACTGGCCTAGTAAACCATCATCAATAAGCAGGAGGGATGCCTGTCTGAGTGTTGTCTGAGTATTGTCTGAACGTGATAAAAATAACTCAAGATGCTAAAAATCTGAGAATAACTAACTTTACTGCAATGCATTTTTAATGAATGTGCCTATATTCCCAGTAAGGGTCCATGAAAAATCCCACCCCCTTTGATAGCCTTTAACACATTATACAACAATGCCTGGGTCAGAGAGCTCTGCTCAGCTGTGCTCTGGCTGCTGGGTGACATCACGTAATAAGAAGAGTACTTTTAAACTGAACACTTACACCAGATGTTTTGGATTTGCAGATCTCCTGCCTGTCTTTTAACATCTTGTCAAGGACTCCGCTCCTGCCCCAGACATTAAATACTGTCTTCCCATGCTGATATCCCACTTCCTGGAAAGAGACAATCAGAAATAAAAACTCATCATCAATAACAACTGGACAACACCATGCTTATAGACTCATAGACTTTAAGGTCAGAAGGGACCATTATGGTCATCTAGTCTGACCTCCCGCAGGATGCAGGCCACAAAAGCTGACCCACCCAATTTCCCTTATCTCAGCTGTTGAAGTCTCCAGATCGTGATTTAAAGACTTCAAGTCGCAGAGAATCCTCCAGCTTCTGACCCCTGCCCTATGCTGCGGAGGAAGGCAAAAAACCTCCAGGGCCTCTGCCAATCTACCCTGGAGGAAAATTCCTTCCCGACCCCAAATATGGCGATCAGTAGAACCCCGAGCATACAGGCAAGATTCCAAGCTTCATGACACCTGCTCTACAAACCAGAGTGCTAAGCACAAGCTTTACCCTCTGGGCCCGGGATTTAGAATGCAGTATGTACTGCTTCAGCTCTGAGTTACTCCGAACGCTCAGCCTATGACATGGGGAGCCATTAACTGGAGCAAGGTGCTATTTTACATCAGCAAGCTCACATGACCTTTGGTCACTTGTTACAATCATCTTTCTGGCGACGGCTTTGTGCAGTACTGCACATCAGACAGTGCTGCATATAAGGAGACACCAACGAAGCATCTCTTTATGGGAAAAGACAACAGCAAAGTTAATTAATATGGGCCTCCTCCGCTGGGCCAGGTCTGACACAGGAATTACTATCGGCACTGCTGTCAAATGACCTGTACATGTGACTCATGAATACACACAAGCCAACCAGCACGTAGGGGCTCTTGCTTTTACATGTAAATTTCAGGTTCTGTTAGAGGTGATATGAGCAACTACTGCTAAAATGCCTGGGGGAGTTTGAATGCGTATACCCCATTTTCCAGCCCTTTAAAACTCTTATTTGCAGTGGGAATGACAACTTGGCATCCATACTGTCTGCATGAAAGCAATTAAAAATAGCTCCAGTCTTAGGGAATGTCTACACTGGCAAAGTTAGAGTGCCGCTCAGAGAGCGCTGAAGGAAAACCGCTGTTGTGTGTTCACACTGACAGCTGCCTGCGCAATAGCGTGTTCACACTTGCGGTGCTATTAGGAGGGGTGCACTCTAGGCTGCTATCCCACAGAGCATCTCTTCCTCTTCTGATGCTAAGACTTGTGGGAAGGCGGAAGCGGTTGCGGGGCATCCTGGGTCCTGTCCCAATGCCCCGTGATGCATTGCTTCGCATCCCAGCAATCCCTGTGCTTCCGTCCGCATTTGGCGCCATCTTTCAATGGTTTGTGTACTGTGCGCCCTGCCCTGCTTCTTTCGGGCTGCAGGAATGGATCCCACACTGTTGACCAATTTGCTGCTCGCACTGACCAACACGTCATGAGTGGCAGTGGAATTATTCCTTAAACTACAAAGGCAAGAGGAGTGCGACGTTGATCTTACCACGCATTGTAGCTATGACATGAGATTGCTTGTGGCATTCACGGAGGTGCTGACCACAGTGGAACACCGCTTTTGGGCTCGGGAAACAAGCACTGAGTGGTGGGATCACATCGTGATGCATGTCTGGGATGATGAGCAGTGGCTGCAGAACTTTCACATGAGGAAAGCCATTCATGGGACTGTGTGATGAGCTTGCCCCAGCCCTGCGGCGCAAGGACACGAGAATGAGAGCTGCCCTGCCGTTGAAGAAGTGCATGGCGATTGCACTGTGGAAGCTGGCTAATCCAGACTGCTACCGATTGGTCGCTAAACCAGTTCGGAGTTGGAAAGTTGACCGTTGGAGTCGTGTTGATGGAAATGTGCAGGGCCATTAATCGCATCCTGCTCCGAAAGACCATGACTCTGGGCAACATGCGTGACATTGTGGATGGCTTTGAACAAATGGGCTTCGCACACTGCGGAGGGGCAATCGATGGCAGGCACCTTCCAATTCTGGCACCAGACAACCTAGCCACCGAGTACATTAATCGCAAGGGGTATTTCTCAATGGTTCTCCGGGTGCTTGTGGATCACCATGGGCATTTCACAGACGTTAACGCAGGCTGGTCCGGAAAGGTGCATGACACACGCATCTTTCGGAACACTGGCCTGTTCAGGAAGCTGCAAGCAGGGACTTTCTTCCCTGATCGGAAGATAGGGTAGGGGAAGTCGAAATGCCCATTGTGATCCTGGGAGACCCCGCCTATCCCTTAATGCCATGGCTCATGAACCCATACACAGGGCAACTTGACAGCAGCAAGGAGCGGTTCAACAACAGGCTGAGCAAGTGCACAATGACTGTGGACTGTGCATTTGGCCGTTTAAAAACCCGCTGGCGATGCCTGTATGGGAAGCTGGACATGGCTGATGACAATATTCCTATGCTTATAGCCGCGTGCTGTAGACTCCATAATATTTGTGAAGGGAAGGGTGAAAGCTTCACTCAGGGCTGGACCACAGAGGCTCAGCGCCTGGAGGCTGAGTTTGAACAGCCAGAGACCAGGGTTATTAGAGGGGCACAGCGCAGAGCCATAAGGATCAGGGATGCTTTGAGGCAGCAATTTCAAGCTGAAAGCCACTAATATTTGTTGCTATGCTCAGGAGTGCAGTGCTTATAATGCTAGGAGGTGATTGGTGCACATGATGCAAGAAGGGACCTTAACATAATTGTATGTTGCTTTGCAGGGCTCTTTTTGCTTTCATTTAATAGAATGAAGATTGCTTTCAAACCAACACAAATCTTTTATTGAAGACAACAACCAGAGGAGAGAGTCAAACGAAAAAAATCATCAGCAGGGAGGGGGATGGGGAAAGCGGGATGGGGGAAGGGAAGGTCTCAAGAGGAGGATGGGGATTTGTGTATGTCCAGGGATCATACCCAACCTTCTCCTTTGGAGTACGATGCAGCGGGTGCTGGGCTTCAGCAGGGCCAAACTGCAGAGGGATGGGTGTTGAGTGCAGTGGATAGTGGGAGTCCACACTGCTGGACTGTGAGAAGGGAGGAGTGGAATGCTGCGGGAAGAGAGTGGAGCCAGGAGGTTGATAGCAGTGTGTTGGCGGGGGGTGTGTGTGTGTGTGTGTGTGCGCGCATGGGAAAGAGTTTTGTGACAGTGGCTGCAGGGGAGGGCAGGCGCGGAGCTGCTCGGATTAAAGAACTAGTATCGCCTGGAGCGTGTCCTCTTGGTGCTCCATAATTGTTAAGAGCCGCTCCGTGGCTTCTTTCTGGTGTGCCGCGTTCTCTTTTTGGTCCCTTTTCTTGCTGTCCTGCCACTCCTTCAATTCTTTTTTCTCAGTGACGGAGTGCATCATAATCTCACACATAAAGTCCTCCTTAGTTCTTCTTGGATGCTGTTTAATTCTGCGCAGCCGTTTTGCCACCGATAAGGGAGGCTGGCCTCCCAAGGTCATCTCTGTGAAGTTTAAATGCAACATTTTACAGAAGCAGTATTGTTTGCAACACAGACAACACTGTTTCAGTGCTTTAAAACACAGCAAGTACTCACACACCTGTCACTAACTGGCTGACCCCAGGCAAGCACACATGAGCCACAAGAGCCCCAAAATGGCGAGTAGCTGCAGGGGCAGGGTAAATCACTGTATACTGGGCACGTGGCTCTTGGGCACTTGGGGAGAGCCAGCACTGTAGGGTGGGTCTGATAATCATTCCTGTCCCCACACTTTCCACAGGAGGTGATCATTATGGAAGATGCCTTGCTGCTGAGGGTGAGGAGGGAATCAAGGGAGGGTCTTCTCCAAGCCTGTGGCTTCTGCCCTGGCCCCTATGCGGCTAGCCTGAGTGCAGCAATGGTCCCCGCACCCGTCCCGGCAAAGTGGAGCGGGAAAGTTACCGTTAATGGGGCAAAAAACAAAGCAGCTCTGCCGAGGAACCTACGGCAGCAGATTGCCCAGTATCTCCACGAGAGTTTCCTGGAGATCTCTGAGGGAGATTCCCATGAAGTGAGGTAGTGTATCAACAGCCTGTTCTGCCGCTCAGACTGGGCATGAGGTGGGAGACAAGCCTGCTTTATGCAACCCTCCTGCCCCCAACAACTCGCTTCCAGCAATTCCCAAAATCAGATCCACTTTCCAGGGGCCTCCTCTCCTGTTTGCTCTTCGCCAAGCTCTGACTGCTATGACTGGCTAGGCTGCTCCAGGGTAGAAAAGAGCTTCTGACTGCATGAACCTCTGGCCTCTGAGTCATCCTCTGCCTCTGGGTCTTCCAAGATTGCCTCCTCCTGGCTCGGTCCACTCTCAACTGGCACGCGAGCCAATGAAAGTATCCACAGGATCCTTCGCAGTGGAGGTGGGGTTTTCACCGAGTATCGCAGCCAGCTCTTTGTAGAACCGGCTGCTCGTGGGCGCAGCACCGGAGTGGCAGTTTGCCTCCTGCGCCTTGCGGTAGGCGTTCCGCAGCTCTGTCACTTTGACCCTGCACTGCGTCCCGCTCATGGCCCCTTTCTGTCATGCATCATGAAATCTGACCGTAGGTATCATAATTCCTATGGCTGGAGTGCAGCTGGGACTGGACAGCCTCCTCTCCCCAAATGCCGATGAGGTCCAACAGCTCGGCATTTCTCCAAGTGTGGGATCGCCTGGTGCGTGGAGCAGACATGGCCACCTTGCTCAGGAGTAGGGAAAAAACCAGCGCTGGTAGCTACTACCCTTGTGGGGGTGGGGTTTTTTTTGTGGGGCTGGTGCTGCAACTACACAGCCACATTAAAGCGCTGCAGCACTTTAACATTGCTAGTGAAGACATGGCCTTATTCTTTTTCCTACAAAGCAGCAGAAAAGGCTCCAGGAAGAACTGAATTCTAGTGCTTAGAGCAGTGGTTGTTAGGAGTCCAGGGCTCTATTCCCAGGTCTATCACTAACAGGCAGAATAAGTGTCAGGAACAGCTCAAGGTTTCATAGCGACCATAATCTGCCCCAAGTGATTCCTAGCTCTGTAGGTCACACTCTGGATCTTGTGTCTGGAATGGCACTGGAAGTCGCGGGGGAGCGGAACTCCCAGACAGACGACTGACT